AAATTTTATTTAAATATTTTAAATAATTAAAAAAGTAAATCAGAGATATATTTATAGTAATTATACAGGCAAATTTGCCTGCAAATCTCTACCAATTAAGAGATAACGTTAATTAATGTATAAACTGGGACTAGTGTCATAATTCCCAACAATCAGAGCTATTATTAATAATACCCAAATCAAGCAATTAATTATAAATTCTTAAAGAAATTATATCTGTTTGCTTTTATATGCTCTTTTCATGGCATAACTAATAGCCGCATTTCTGAACCAGATTTTGCATTTTTCTGCTTAGCTATTTTTTCAATCTGTCACAGCTATTATTATAATAATAGCTTCTGAAACACCTGATAAAAAATTTGCCAGATGATTTTTAAGCCAATCTAGTTAAGTTATTGATTCGGCATAAATTCATAAGCTATTTTTGTATCATTTCCTTATTATTTTATGATTGTCATGACAATAATGTTAACTTTTAAATTTTCGTTCAAATGCTTGTCCAAAAATGTTTGGTTTTTAGTTTGTACGGAAATTTATAGAAAAAACTGTTCATATCAATCAATAAACCTTAACAAGAAGAAATCAAATATAAATTAGACTTTTATAACAAATATATTACTTGAACAGGTGCCGCTATTAAAAAAGGTAAATATAATCGACTAGTTTAAAAATGAATTTCAGGTTAGGATTCCAAGCGATTAAGATATTATCAATATTTGTTAAGAATGTATGAAGAATTATGATAAACAAAATCCAGATAAAAAATTTTATATGTTTATATTGTTTATATATTTTTTATCTTCAACAAGAAATTAGAAATATAATTAGAAATGAATAAAGGCTTTGTTTAAGCAAAAACCAAAAAATAAACCTTGTTGTGATAGATATTAGTCACCTTGAATCTTATTATTCCTGAAATATATAACTTGGTGTTTCAGAAGTTATGATAATAGCTGTAACTTGAAAAAAAATTAGCAAATGTAATATTCTACCGGATCCAGATCGGGTATTACCTGGTCGGATCTATCTATGGATCCGGATTTGATAGATCCTATAAATTGCGGATTCGATCCGGATCCGGATCTTCAGATCCATTTTGTGGAACACTAATTACAGGTAATTATTATCTGTTGTTTTTATATATATAATTTATGCAAGTATAAGCCCAGATTGTTGGTATACATTGTCTACCTGATATGTAATAATAATGTAATTGTTTTGTTAGTAAATAAATAAATAAAGGAGCATGATCCAATAATGATTAATTTTTCTTCGCTTTTATATATGAGATTCGTTGATATTTTCTTTCTTTTGCTTGTATAAGATTCGTTGATATTTATTAGTAAAAATAAAAACTAATTAGTTTGTTGTAATAAAAAGAAACGATTAAATAGTTATCAAAGAAATTAAAAGCAACTAAGCAAGTGAAAGATTGTATATGCTTTTAAGAGTAATCAGCTCATGTTTGCTTGTTAAAATACTCAATAAGGATCCATTAACATTTGTCTCATAAAGTAGAAAGTAATAAGCAGATAGTATATGTTGTAGAAAAAAGAAGTTAAGTGGCTAATAACGATTCAATAAAAAGTACGCAATAGGAAAAAATTATATCAGCAAGCTGACTTATCGTGTAAACGAACATTTAATACTATAATGCAAAGTTTCACAAGGTTAGTGAAAAAGTTTTTTGTAAGCAAGTGTTAATATAACGTCTAATTAACTTCTTTTTTAATGATCAAAGTAGTTTAGTCAAAGGGCCTAAAGTTGACTTTAACCAAAGTCTCATAAGGTTGGTGATGATTTTCATACCTGCATATTGGAGTAACTGCTAATGGTTTGTCTTTAAATAATTCTAAAGTAAAGAATAAGACTGATTTTATTATTGTGCAAAATCATCAAAATTTCGAAAGGTTGGTAAGAAAGCTTGGTAGCTATATGTTAAACTAACTTCTAATAGCCATTTTTAATATCATTAAGCAATTCCACAATGGAACTTGAGGCTAAATTTAATTTTGCACAAAATTATCAATTTAAAAGATTAGTGAGGAAGATTGGTAGATACACATTAGAGTATTTTCTAATTGGTCAGCTTTTTTAATGTTGCTAAGCAATCCTATAATAGAACTTGGGTTTGATTTCAATTTGGCACAGAATCAAGGTTTTAGGTTAGTGTTGGCGTTTTTGGTAACTATGTATTAAAATGACATCTGATTAGTTTTTTCTTTAGGAGGTTATTGATCTTCTATGCTAATTTTATAGTTATTAAATTTTAGTGCTTGTTTGATTATTGAAAATGAATAATGTCCATTGGTTACTTTTAGTTTTGAAAATAAAGTATTTGAATTACCATTAAAGACTCGTAAATATCAAATTATCAGTTCAGAAAATGAAGTGCAAAATTATGATAACCAGCAATTTAGTTTGGAAATTGAAACATAGTAAGTGGTTTATTTAACCTTTTTTTGTATATATTTGAATGTACAACTAATGAATAAATATGTGTAGTTCACAAGATGTTCTTAGTGAAGATGAATCAAATAAAAGTCTCCTGCAATTATATCTTGGTTTTAAATTTACTACATGGGAAGATGTGGATAGATTTATAGAATTATATGGAAAATGTAAAGGTTTTTCTTTTCGATGAAGTAGAAATAATTTTTACACAAACCATTCAAGCATTTGTCATCGTAGCTATGAATATTCTTACTTATATGTACACAAGGCCAACAAAGACATGGATATCACTAAACAGCACGAACACTATTCAGCAGCAATTAATTGCCAATGGCATGTGAATTTCAATAATCATAAGAACACTGTCAAGATAGTGTGTACTTCGTTCGATAATGAGCATAACTATGAGTTGAATTCTATAATTGTTCAAACTACATCACGTTTTCGTAAATTGTCTAAGGAAATGTTAGAAGATATAGAATTTTATACACATTCTGCAGAAGGCATAGGTGCCAATATACAGTATAATCTTTTAAAAGCAAAATTTCCAGATGAATATATTGACAAGAAAGATTTATACAATGCTATTCAATAGTTTCGAATCCTATCATATAAGAAACTGAAGGCCAATGCTGCAGAAGCTTTACAACAGTTGATAGCTTTAAAAGTGGATAATCCTAAATGGATTGTTATACCTAATATAGAAGGTAAAGAAAACAGGCTGACTGCACTTTTCTGGATGTCTCCTTTACAAGTTTCTTTATGATCACAATATCATGACATTGTTATTACTGATAATATATGCAAGACAAATCACTACAAAATGCCATTGTGTCTTTTCCTAATCATTGATAATAACACTTGCTCACGGATTGTCAGGCATTATTAGAAGATGAAACTCAGGCCTCTTTTGAGTGGTTTTGCATTTTTTTGCATTATTATTCCTTTTTTTTTATACTATTATTCATCATACTTCATCAGCAAATTATATAAACATAATCTTACGTAAGATATTATGGCCGTAATATTGTGCAAAAATTACGGTCTGGACATAATATTGCGCAATTTATTACGTAATATTATACAATTTATTACGGAGTATTACGCAATTTATTACGGAGTATTACGTAATTTATTATGGAGTATTATGCGATTTATTTC